CTGCTGCACATAGCCGCTCAGCGCGACTACGAGCTTCACTCTCTCGACTTCAGCACTGCGTTCTTGCAGGGTAGCCTGCACGAGGAGATCTGGCTTCGCCGTCCACCTGGCTTCACTGGGACTTTCCCTCCTGGCACCCAGTGGAGCCTCCGACGGCCAGTCTACGGTCTCCGCCAGGCACCGCGTGAGTGGCACGACACACTGAGGACTACGCTTGCGGCTCTTGGGTTTGCTCCTTCTACTGCTGACCCGTCGCTGTTTCTTCGCACCGACACTTCCCTGCCGCCGTTCTACATCCTCGTGTACGTCGACGACTTGGTCTTTGCCACAGCGGACACTGCTGGACTCGCCTACGTGAAGTCCGAGCTGCTGAAGAGACACACGTGCACAGACCTGGGTGAACTGCGCAGCTACCTTGGCTTGCAGATCACTCGGGACAGAGCACGCCGCACCATTACCTTGACTCAGTCACACATGGTGCAGCAGGTCCTTCAGCGCTTCGGCTTCACGTACTCCTCGCCTCAGGCCACTCCTCTGCCTACTCGCCACTCACTCTCAGCTCTGCCTTCGGATGAGTCCGTAGAGTCGAGTGGTCCGTATGCAGAGCTTGTTGGCTGCCTCATGTACCTGATGACCTGCACACGACCTGACCTTGCATACCCTCTGAGCATTCTTGCACGCTATGTTGCTCCTGGGAGACACAGACCGGAGCACATGGCTGCAGCGAAGAGGGTATTGCGCTACCTGTGCAGTACGTCGGGCATGGGGCTAGTGCTTGGAGGGCGGAGTCCAGTGGTCCTTACCGGCCACGCGGACGCTTCTTGGGCTGACGACCAGGCTACGCAGCGGTCGTCACAGGGTTACACCTTCAGCCTTGGTTCCGGCTCTGTCTCGTGGCGGTCTACTCGCTCGTCTTCAGTTCTCGGCTCCAGTTGTGAGGCTGAGATCTACGCCGGGGCCATGGCTGCACAGGAGCTTCGCTGGCTCACCTACCTGCTGACTGACCTTGGAGAGCCGCCTCGTTCTCCTCCAGTGCTGTACGTAGACAACAAGGCTATGCTGGCCTTGTGTCGAGAGCAGCGCTTGGAGCACAGAACGAAGCACATTGCTCTCCGCTACTTCCTTGCTCGTGAGCTGCAGCAGCGTGGTCAGTTGCGGCTTGCGTACGTGGCCTCTGAGGCCAACACTGCTGATGTGTTCACCAAGGCACTCGCGCCTTGTGACCATCAGCGCTTTTGCACCCAGCTGGGTCTTGTGCCTGTCTTGCCTCACTTGCTCTCCTCTTGACTTCACTTGTACTGTGACATATATATATGCCTGCTCTTGTTTGTCTAGTTTTATATATATGTCTGTACTCCTGCATGTGAACTGGCCTCTGGCCCTACTCTTGTGCTCGGACTGTGTGGTGACTTTGTGATCCACCCTGAGCTTGCTTTGCTTTGCTTGACTGGTCTTGTGACCCCTTGTTCTCCCCCACTTTGCCTATGGGGGTGTGTCAGATTTATATGACATAGTTGCTGTAGGCTATAGTGGGGTAGTACATATGGGGTACAGGGTTTCTAGGGTTGTATTTGTACCTAATCTTTCCTTAGTCATTTTCATTCCTGTTTTCTTTACTTCACAAAAATGTACTAAGGCATAAAACGAAAGTAAAGAACGAGAACAAAGGGAAAAACACATAACGAGACAGTAAACGAACGAAAAGAATATAACAAATACGTTGAGCGAGAACAACGGAGACCGAGAGCGAGAGCGAGCGAGAGAGAGAGAGAGAGAGAGAGGACGAGAGAGAGAGGACAAGAGAGCGAGAACGAGAGAGTGGACGAACGAGAGAGAACGAACGAGAGATTTGACAAAAGAGAACGAGAGAACGACAGAGATGGAACGAGAGAGAGAGAGAGAGAGAGAGAGAGAGAGAGAGAGAGAGAGAGAGAGAGAGAGAGAGAGAGAGAGAGAGAATGAGAGAGAACGAGAGAGAGGGAACGAGAGAGAGAGAGAGAGAGAGAGAGAGAGAGAGAGAGAGAGAGAGAGAGAGAGAGAATGAGAGAGAGATCGAGAGAGAGAGGACGAGAGAGGGAGAACGATAGAGAGAGAGAGATCGAGAGAGAAAGAAAATGAGAGAGAACGAGAGAGAGAGAACGATAGAGAGAAAACGAGAAACGAGAGGGAGAGAACGAGAGAGGGAACGAGCGAGAGAGAACGAGGGTGAACGATCGAGAGCGAGAGCGAGAGTACGAGAGTGAAATAACGAGAGAGAGAGAGAGAGAGAGAGAGAGAGAGAGAGAGAGAGAGAGAGAGAGAGAGAGAGAGAGAGAGAGAGAGAGAGAGAGAGAGAGAGAAGAGAGAGAGAACGAGAAAACGAGGGAGAACGAGAGAACGAGAGAAAGAGAGAACAAGAGAAGAGAGAGAGAGAACGCGAGAGAGAGAGAGAGAGAGAGAGAGAGAGAGAGAGAGAGAGAGAGAGAGAGAGAGAGAGAGAGAGAGAGAGAGAGAGAGAGAGAGAGAGAGAGAACGGGAGAGAAAGAACGAGGGAGAACGAACGAGAGAACGAGAAAGAACTAGACAACGAGAGAACGAGAAAGAGAACGAGAAAGAGAACGAGAAAGAGAATGCTCCAACCTAATAATTTAACTCTCTGAACATAATTGTTAATAATCATGTCAAATTTCAATTAAGGAAGAGGAATAAATCAAGAAACAGCGTACGGAAGAAGACAAAAGTAAGAGCAAGAGCTGAAAAGAGCAAGCAAGTAGAATGTAAATCGAAATAAAGGAGAGAAGAAGATGGGAAGAAGTGGAGAGAAGGAGAGGGAAGGAGAGAACAAAAGTACGGTGCATAACCTAGGAAGAAAGCGAGGTTAAGAAACAAAATACGTCTAGATCTCGTTTAAAAAAAACAACTCTCAACCAAATGAGCTAAACTAGAACCCACTCTCAACTAGAATGAACTTAAGAATAGAGAGAATGAGGCTTACCTTAACTAGGAGTTATAGTATGAGTGGTGTGAGTGGCGTGAGTGGCGTGAGTGGCGTGAGGGAAGGGGAGAAGCTAGAGTAGTCTGACTAGGTGGAAGAGAAACGGAGGAAAAAGACATTTGACGAAACCCTAGAATGGGACGTTTTTATTGCAAATAACACTGATATAATTTTACGCTTCTTCAACTATGGATTGTATAGCATAGCTTTTCGACGTCGTCGTTATTGCAAAGGTCGGGAGTTCGAATCTAGTCATGGTCAAAGGTTTGGTTACATAAAGGTTTCTTCCTGTAGTTCTTTTTGTTTCAGATTTTCAGTCACCCTAAAACCAAATCATATGAACACAACAAGAATAACTTACCCTAAACAACCACACCCATCTGTTATGTACACCCTTTCATTTGTATACTCCCATATTATATGAAACACATATCTATGAATAGCAATGATTCAACAAATATCAAAGTCATGTTACGATATTATATAATTCTCACTATAGATCAGATGTATCTAAAAATAACAGTGTAATGTTGCTTCGCAACCCTAAGACGATTTAGTCGCCTCTTGTTTTTTATTGATTTCGAGAGCATAGATCTGCAAGTTTCTGTGCACTTTTGCACCTCTCTACTCTACTTCCGAAGCATCTCCGTAATAGGGAATCTGTCAACCGTCACCGACAATCGCACCCCAATTGACTTCGTTTGCACTTCACCTCCTCGCAGCTTCGTCGCACGTCGCATTGCAGAGCGGTTTGCGTGACAAACCGAGGCAGCTCGTGTGACGTGTCCATCCCGAGTCGCAAGGCGCCACAACAGCCAATCGCATCGTTTCCTCACCTCGCCCCCAACTTATGATTCTGTACTGCTGTCCTGTACAGTACTAATTGGCCCCCATTCCCCCATGCGTTGTGTGTCCCCCCAACCATAGCACCTCGCCCCTCCCCTCTCCCGGCCCCATGTGTTGCGTGTCCTCCCCGCTAGCTAACCTCACTGCCAAACGACCGACCAAATCTCAGGGCTTGTGGTGTGTGCGGCATTCCTCCTGTTTCTCCCCTACACAAAGGGGCGCATTCCGAAAGGCGCCCACCCAACGACTGCGGAGGGATCTTGGCTTCTACTCTACGATACTCTACGAGTCTGCGTGCTCTTCGTTGACAGACTGCCGAGCTGGCGTGCCGCCGCTCTGCAACCTTCTCTCTCCTGCGAACACCGCGTTTGATTTGCAAGTGAAGCTCCTCCTAGCTCTTGTCTTGTGGTGTCATCTACTCTCCAACACGCAACCGTACCGTACCGTACCCGCCTCGTGGCAACGCCGGCGGTGCATCTACTTGACCATCCGTACGTTCTCCTCCACTCTCTCCGCTCGCCGCTGCCTGCCCTGCTCTGGTTCCCTCATCGCGTCTCGTGACTCCCACCCATCCCCGTTCCATTGCACCACCTTAACATTCGACTAGCACCGACGCGCCTAGGGTACCTCCTCCTGGATCTGCTCAGCTCTGGTAGCGCTCGCCCTACCCGCCACGTGGGACGATTTCGATTTACTGCTGCTCCCCCCACCTCGCTACTGTATTTCCGTCCGCATTCTAACCCTGGGCCTCACGTGGTAACGGTTTCCGTCACGCCCTTGCACGTTTTAGAGAAGCGCCCGCGTTTATGAGCCTATCGAGTGACCATCTGTAGGCACTTGTCGAGTCATCATCCTCTCAAAGCTCTGATAGTGGGAGGCCAGATCGAGCAGCCCGCGAAGTTGGTTAGCCACAGTTAGCGACAGATCTGGTGCCTCTGTCGGTTCAGTGTGTTAGTGTGTAAAATAGGAGGGTGATGTCCCGTGATGTGCTAAGGGTAAAGCCAGCACCTTTCCCTCTCTAGTCCGACTTCCGCGTACCCAGCGATTGGTTGCCGGAAGACCGATTGCCGTCACGCGCTCACCAATTTTCGCGACGCTGGGCGATGCTGCGACGCAAGTGTTCGCAGCGGAGTGTGCGGGGGTAGCGAGCAGGCGGTTAGGGAGTCTGCGCCGCTCGCCCATGCACGTGCGCACCACGCGTGCGCGCTCAGCGCGTGAAGCGACGGGTGTGCAAGTTCTGTGCGCGCAGAGCGGAGGAGCCATGCGCAAGCGGAGACGGGGCAGCAGCCACGGCGAGGTACGCGGGAAGAGGGGCCGGTAGGGGCCGGTAAGGTAGGTGAGGGGCGGAGGTGGGCGGCGGCGGAATGGGCGGTTGCAGGGCAGTGGGGCGCGCGGGTAGTGCGTGTGGATCCGCAATGCGGCTGCCGTGAGGGCACGATCGCATTACCGTGCCGACTTGAAGTGTCCGTTGTGTTACCCTCACACCTCAGCCCTTTCATCCCTCACTCACACCAACTCTCTCATGTCCTACCCTCCCTGCTCCCCTTCTCTCTCCCCCTTCTCGCTCTCCGCCCTCCTCTCCCTTGTTCCACGCGCAGCTGTTGTGTCTGGTGCTCCTCGCGCTGCTGTGTCTCCTACCTCCCACGTTCACCCTCGCTCTTGCAAGCAGCTATTCTAGCACCCCGGCAACAGCAGCAGCGGCGGCAGACACAGCAGAAGCAGCACCAGCGGACAGGGCAGCAGTGACATCAGCAGTAGCATCAGTCGAAGGGGCATCTAGTAGTCACGCCTTCGTTCCTCTTGTTCCTCTCCATAGAAGCACGTTCCACCATAGTAACACAGCATCCGCACAAGCGGTAACAAGCTTAGAACCGGCCTCCCACGTGCGGTTATCCTCGTCAGTGGTAAGCCGGCCGTTGCACAGCAGCATGAGTGGCACGACTCGCCCCAGACTCAGTTCCAGATTGCCCTCTCTCTCGCCGCTCTCTGTTATGAAGCCCGCAGACATTGGCCCGGAGGCAGGAGCAGGGGCAGGAATGGTGGCAAGGACACAAGGGTCTATGGCAGGGAGAGAGGGTGGCATGGCAGGTGGGGAGGTTGTCGGGGCAGGTGGGGAGGTTGTCGGGGCAGGTGGGGAGGTTGTCGGGGCAGGTGGGGAGGTTGTCGGGGCAGGTGGGGAGGTTGTCGGAGCAGGTGGGGAGGTTGTCGGGGCAGGTGGGGAGGTTGTCGGGGCAGGTGGGGAGGTTGTCGGGGCAGGTGGGGAGGTTGTCGGGGCAGGTGGGGAGGTTGTCGGGGCAGGTGGGGAGGTTGTCGGGGCAGGTGGGGAGGTTGTCGGGGCAGGTGGGGAGGTTGTCGGGGCAGGTGGGGAGGTTGTCGGGGCAGGTGGGGAGGTTGTCGGAGCAGGTGGAGACGAGCGCAGCGGAGATGTTGTGGTTGCCGTTCCCATTAGGCTTGGCAGGATGTGGGCAGGGCAACAATCATTGCATGCCACATCAGCATCGTACAACAGTCCTCTCATGCCTAGCATAAGCATAGGTAACAGCAGCAGTTTTGCGCAGACGCAGCAGCAGCAGTTACGGCAGCAGCTGCTGCTGAGACAGCAGCGGTGGCGGCAGCGGCTGCATCGACTGCAGAGGCAGCGACCAATACAGCGGCAGCAGCAACGGCAGCAGCGCCTGCGGGCGCAGCAGCGGCAGCAGCAGCAGATGCGAAGCTCCCTCATGCCATCAATCGGACCCTCCCAGCCTCAGCTGCTGCAAGCGCCTGATGCTGGTGGCAGCAGTATCAGCGCGCAGAGGGGGGCACAGGCGGGTACAGCGCCGCTGCCCCTCCTGCCACACACCAGCACCTCCGGCCCACAGCAGGTGGGGAATCAGATGCAGCCACTGCAGCCGTTGGATAGCTTTACTCCACGGCAAGTGCCAGCTGTAGTGCTGCCGGTGCAGCAGCAGCAGCCCATACCCCCGCAGGCAGCGCAGCAGCCGATGCAGGTGCACATCCCAATAGGCCAGCCAGCTCCTGTGAACGAACCCTCCCTGGCAGAGCTCCCAAGCCACCACATGAAGCCGCGCAACGGGCCGCTGATACCCCTGTCGCAGCCGGGACAGCCAGGGCAGCGCATGAGAGACCGCGAGGTGGACTGCCAGTACCGCACGGAAGGGCAGGGACAGGACCTGCACCGCTGTGCCATGGGGTATGCGGGGTGGGCGAACGTGACAGGTGGGAAGGGCAAGGTGGTTTACTGGGTGTCTTCCTCCATGGATCACCCCACGCGCCCCTTGCCTGGGTCGCTGCGCTGGGCGCTGTTCAAACATAGAGGAGGAGCCATCATTCGGTTTTCCCGCAGCATGGTGGTGAATCTGACTGAACGGCTGTTCGTGCGCTCTGATACGACTATTGATGGGCGGGGGGCGACGGTGAAGATTAATGGTCCCATGGCGGTGTATGGGGCGACGAATGTGATTATACACAACCTGGCGATAGGGAACGCCAAGGGGAATACGGATGCGCTGCATATACGGAAAAGCTCGCGCGTGTGGGTGGACCACTGTAGAGTGACCAATGCGTATCGCGGCACGATTGATGTTGTGAAGGGGTCGACAAACGTGACTATATCGAACTGCTTCATCCGCAACTTGTAAGTGGTCCATCAGTGATTCAAAGTAGATTCTGTTTCCCTGCCATTCCATTGCTCTCTTTCTTCTCACTCCACATCAGTCATCATGCCAACCTCTCACACCTCATCCTGCCATTTCCTATGCCTGTCTCCCCTCTGACCCCTCCCCCTCCATCTCGCCTCTCCAGTGGCTTCACCATGCTGCTGGGCGCAGCAGACGCAGACACCATTGACAAGCAGATGAGAGTAACAGTCTACCGCAACTGGTTCTTCGGGTCAGGCCAGAGGCAGCCGCACGGGCGCTGGGGCCAGATACACGTGGCCAACAACCTCTACACCAACTGGACCTACTACTGCCTCGGAGGCCGCGTGCATGCCAACATCCGGTCAGACAGAAACATTTTTGTCGCGGGCAAAGGGCGCAAGGAGGTGACGCCGTGGTTTGGGCCGCAGAGCCCGTCGGTTCCTGGGTTTGACAACACGCCCACCATCCGTTCGTTCAACGACTCGTTGCGCAACGGTGCCACCTTCCATGTCTTCCCAGGAACCCCGCCCAAGCCGACCTTTGTGCCACCGTACAAGCTGCCCTTGCACTCGGCAGATGACATTCTGGGGGCGTTTGTGGCAAGGAATGCCGGGCCTCGTGTGGGCACCGCGCCTCTCCTGCCCTGCACCGCCAACACCTGCTGGAGCTGCTGCTGACACACACAGAGACCGCCTCTGGCAACAGCATATACTTGCAGAACATTATAATTTTTAAACACACATTGTGTTTTTTAAAATTGTGTATTGTGAAATCGAAGCTGTTTGTACTGCACAATTGGCATCGTCGAAGCGCGCTAAACGCCCTTCTCCAACTACAAAAACCGTGGGTTGGAGTTCATTTCCCTCCACCCACGTTTCTCGATTTTCAAACGGCTCACTCAACACTTCTGCTCACGTAGTTTATCCCTCCGTCCAAGCTGGCTAGAACAAAATCGCTTCCTAGAGGCGAGTCACCTTCGACCTTACTCAACGATATTTTTAACTTCAATCGCTCAACGATGGCACCGACGCCGACACTTAACAACGGGAACTCGTCCAACCCCGCCTCCGACAACGACCGTAACACCCGCGATTTGGCGGGCGAACGCCGTAACAAGCGACGGGCAGAAGATGGACCGCCCGCCCCGACTGCAGTGGACGTGCTGCTGGGCGGGCTCGAGGTCAACAACTCGGCCAACGCCCAGCAGCACCCTTCGGCGCCAGTGGCGCCAGTGGCGCCTGAGGTGCCTGTGGCGCCAGTGGCACCTGCGGCGCAAGTGGCGACGGCCGCGGGCGTGGCACACGCCACTGACGCCGAGCACACGCCAGCACCCGCGGCTGGACCGTCGCGTCAGCGCCAGAGGAGGCGGACGGCGGTCTCCTCGTCTGACGCGACGACCGCCCCTGCGTTGACGCAGGCGTTGACCCCGGACCAGGTCAACGCGCTGCTGTCCCTTCTACAGCAGCAGCCCGTCAGCGTTACAGCCGCGGAAACTGCACTACCCGCTGCATCTGCGTCGGCTAAAAAAGAAAATGCAAAAAAGGAAAAAGGCGCGCGAGGAGCAAGGACCATTCGGCACGACAACGACGCAGCAGCAGCAGCACCTCCCGCTCCAGCGGTCGACAACGACACCGACGACTCTGAAGATGAAGCCGATTTGCTCCCAAAGTTACACGACCAAATTATCAACATGCTCGCGCAATCTCGCGCCGATTCTACGATCCGGACATACGAACCATACTGGGCCAAGTTTCGAGCCTTCTGCACAAAAGTGAACCTCCCATTTCTTCCGGCATCCGACATGACCCTCGCACTCTACCTGGTACACGCAATCCGACGCAAAGCCACCCTGTCCGAAGTGCAGCTGACGTGCTCGGCGGTCAGCTTCGCTCATCGCATGACTGGGAGCAAATGCCCGACAACCGGACCGTTCACCACCCAAGTCCGTGACTGTGCAAAACGACACTGCCCTCGCCCTACTCGTATGAAGGAACCCGTATCGATCCAACAAGTCCGGGACATGGCCGCGAGTTACTTGCAGTCCGACGATCCCGCGACGTTTCAGAAAGGGTTGATCCCCATCCTCATGTACTCAGGATTCCTGCGATATTCGGACCTGGCAGCCATAAAATGGCAAGACATCCAATTCGACGACGAGGTCATGTGGATTTTCATACCACACTCCAAGACCGATCAGGCTGGTCATGGCACTTGGATTCCCATTGCAGCAGCGACAGACCCTTGTTGCCCAGTGCGCTGCACCCGACGCTTCATCCAACTGGCCGGCTATGGCCTACAGTCAGAGGGACCATTGATTCGGGTCTTCGGCCACGCTTCAACCAGCGAGGGCCAAGCAAGGCCACCCTCATACACCACGATCCGGAACTGGTGCAAGGAAGCCTTCGCAAAAGTGGGCCTTGGAGACTTGCAGCTCGGCACACATTCTTTCCGAAAAGGTGCAGCCACAGTAGCAGCCAACACGGGCGTGCCAGACAGGGTCTTCAAACGACTGGGCAGATGGCGAAACGACTCAGCAAAGGAAATGTATGTTACACCATACGTCGAGCCTCTTATCGAAGCCTCCCGTAACCTACAAGACCTGACGCATGCAGCGTCATCGGCACAACACTCAGAGGCACTCGTACGCAACCGGAGGCCCCCGCTGCCCATGTCTCAGAAACCCCATTTGTAATGAGAACGATGCCAATTGATAAGAATAAGAAAGCAAGCTTTCTCAATATTATAATTTTTAAACATACATTGTGTTTTTTAAAATTGTGTATTGTGAAAGCGAAGCTGCTTGTACTGCACAATTGGCATCGTCGAAGCGCGCTAAACGCCCTTCTCCAACTACAAAAACCGTGGGTTGGAGTTCATTTCCCTCCACCCACGTTTCTCGATTTTCAAACGGCTCACTCAACACTCCCACCACCCACCCCAGAGTAAACCGCCTTGCTAATGCCACTTGGATAGGGTACATCTTAGCTAGTGTTATTCGATTGCACCAGCTTGTGTTCAACGTTGATGCAAATGTTGTAATAAGCCATTTGTAATGAGAACGATGCCAATTGATAAGAATAAGAAATCAAGCTTTCTCAATCAGGGAGATCAACAATCCAAGACCGACAGTCCAAGACTGACAGTCCCCTCCACGTTATTCTCATCCGAGTAGAAACAGGGATTTTGATTATGTAAGGGTGAGTGTGGCTTGGTAGGGCGCTGTTGTGTTACTAGCTGTTGCTGTTAGAATGTACATTCCTGTATAGTAATCAGCATTCTGCGTTCGTGGTCATGGACCAACACTAAAACTGGTTGCGTTTCTGTTGTTTCTAAGTAATATGTGGGGGTAATGGAAGGCAGTGGAAGTAGCATCAAACATTTCTCTAGTAATCATACCTAATAAATAACCAGTGGTCCTTATAGATAGAGCACCTATGTCAGAGATTTCACCTAGAACTTTCTGCGTGCTACAGGGTGGTGTAGCATTGAGGCAGTGACACCGAGGGCTCGCCAGTGCCGCAGCTACAAGCACAGCCTTCTCCGCGAGCCTCTCCTACTTTTGAGCTTCTCTTGAGGCCTCCAGCAGTCCCGCCTCCTCGTCCGTTTGTTGCGCCTGCCCATGTCTCAGAGACCCCATTTGTAATGAGAACGATGCCAATTGATAAGAATAAGAAAGCAAGCTTTCTCAATTTAGACATTTTAGGTACCTTCACATCCTGCTCCACAGAACATCCTCTCATAAGTATACCTCCGGGGTTTGTTCTAGTTTAGTAGGTGACTTTTTCGAAGCACATGGTTGTTGAGTAACTTCTGTGCACATTGCGTGCATGGACGTTTTAAGAAACATCTGGCCTCAGAGGCCACGTAAGCAAGGCCTGTCCCACATCTGTCCCTCAAAACATTTTCGGGAATGAAGTGTACGGAAATCACCTCCGCGAAAAGCTGCGAGCTTTTCCGGAAATCACCTCCGCTGTCCCGGTTACGTGTCGAAATCCTTTGTATGGAGGTTGTAGTCCATATTTATTTCAACCGAATTTCGTATTTCTTGTTGATTTCAACAGCGTAACACTACCTGCAAGTGTTATCAGATTCATGGGCAATTTACGTGGAAGTGTTATGGGTGCAATGGATCGAAGTAGCGAGAATTGCACTAAGGTGTCAAACGAGTACAAAATGTGAGCGAAGGCATGAGCGAACATTTATACGCGAAACATGCAAACGGTAACGCGGTGCGTGCGAGCTAGCTAGTGCTATGCTGGAGCTAGGCTCGGGCTAGTTCCGAAGCGTAGGCCGACATGGCCATGCCAGCAGTGCGAGGTTTGGTGAAACAGTGCGCGCGAAGTCGGCGAAGCCCCGATAGCAGTAACGGGCGAACAACGGCTGCTGCTGTACGCGATGTTGCAGGGTGCTCTAAGGAATATCGAGAAAATTCCCTACACTACCCCCCCCCTTAAGAAGCCCCCTCCGCTACGCGAGTGCGTGAATATCGCGGAAGCCCCGACTCCTCAGGTACACTTGCAGGGCAGGGTGGTTTTCGATGTTGGCCAGGGGCACCCAGCTGTCCTCAGTTGGCGTGCGATCCTTCCAGCGAACGAAGAATTCAATCCTCTTGATTCCCGTGGGGTGTCGAATCCGATGGCTAAGGATTTTTTCAGGCGCGATGATCGGCTCCGATGCAGGGCGAGTCATCGATGGCGGGCGGTGGCGAGGTAGTTGGATTGTGGTTGGGATGTAGGGGCGAAGCAGGCTGACGTGGAACGAAGGGCTGATGTACCAGTCGGTCGGTAACAGTAGGTGCGCGGTTACTGGCGTGATCATGTGGCTGATTTGGAATGGGCCACAGTAGCGCGGTCGGAGTTTTGGTACGTCGAGCAGTCGCAAAGTTTGCGTGTCGAGTAGTACGTAATCCCCTTAAGAAGAAATGAGGAATGAATGAACTAGCAAGCAGGTGGGTACAAGTAGGAAAACCTAGAAGTGTTGTACCCCATATTGTCGACCCCACTATAACCTACACAGACTATAGTATAAGAGTTTGACACACCCCCATAGGCAAAGTGGGAGATAACAAGAGGTCACAAGACCAGTCAAGCAAAACAAAGCAAGCTCAGGGTGGATCACAACGTCACCACACAGTCCGAGCACAAGAGCAAGGCCAGAAGGCCAGTTCACATGCAAGATCATATATAAAGGTAAACATGCAAGTGCAGGTATAGAAAGATCACAGTACAAGCAAGGTCAAGAAGTGAGCAAGTGAGGTCAAGTAGGCACAAGACCAAGCATCGTACAGAAGCGCTGATGATCACAAGGCGGAAGTGCCTTGGTAAAGATATCTGCAGTGTTGGCCTCAGAGGCCACGTAAGCAAGGCGCAGCTGACCACGCTGCTGCAGCTCACGAGCAAGGAAGTAGCGAAGAGCAATGTGCTTCGTTCTGTGCTCCAGTCTGTGCTCCCGACACAAGGCCAGCATGGCCTTGTTGTCTACGTACAGAACTGGAGGAGAACGAGACGGCTCTTCTAGGTCAGTCAGCAGGTAGGTGAGCCAGCGTAGCTCCTGTGCAGCCATGGTCCCCGCGTAGATCTCAGCCTCACAGCTGGAGCTGAGAACAGAAGACGAGCGGGTAGACCGCCAAGAAACAGAGCCGGAGCCAAGGCTGAAGGTGTAACCCTGTGACGACCGCTGCATAGCCTGGTCGTCAGCCCAAGAAGAGTCACCGTGACCTTTGAGGACCACTGGACGTTGCCCTCCAAGCACTAGCCCCATGCCCGACGTACTGCACAAGTAGCGCAACACCCTCTTCGCTGCAGCCATGTGCTCTGGTCGGTGTCTGCCAGGAGCAACATAGCGTGCCAAGATGCTAAGAGGGTATGCAACGTCAGGTCGTGTGCAGGTCATCAGGTACATGAGGCAGCCAACAAGCTCTGGGTACGGGCCACTCGGCTCTACGGACTCATCCGAAGGCAGAGCTGAGAGCGAGTGGCGAGTAGACAGAGGAGTGGCCTGAGGCGAGGAGTACGTGAAGTCGAAGCACTGAAGGACCTGCTGCACCATGTGTGACTGAGTCAGGGTAATGGTGCGCTATGCTCTGTCCCGGGTGATCTGCAAGCCAAGGTAGCTGCGTAGTTCACCCAGGTCCGTGCACGTGTGTCTCTTCTGCAGCTCGGACTTCACGTGGGCGAGTCTAGCAGTGTCAGCAGTGGCAAAGACCAAGTCGTTGACGTACACGAGGATATAGAACGGCGGCAAAGAGGTGTCGGTGCGCAGAAACATCGACGGGTCGGCAGTAGAAGGTGCAAACCCAAGAGCCGCAAGTGTAGTCCTCAGTGTGTCGTGCCACTCACGGGGCGCCTGGCGGAGACCGTAGACTGGCCGCCGGAGGCTCCACTGGGTACCAGGAGGAAACGACCCAGTGAAGCCAGGTGGGCGGCGCGGCCAGATCTCCTCGTGCAGGCTGCCCTGCAGGAAAGCTGTGCTGAAGTCAAGAGAGTGAAGCTCATAGTCGCGCTGAGCGACTATGTGCAGCAGCACCCGAAGAGTGGTCATCTTTGGGGTGGGAGAGAAGGTCTGAAAGTAGTCAACTCCCTGCCGCTGACTGAAGCCTCGAGCCACGTAACGCGCCTTGAAGACAGGCGGAGAACCCGGCGGCCGCTTCACCCTGAAAATCCACATGCCACTGACGATGTTCGCCCCAGGTGGGGGAACCTCGTCGACGTAGGTGCCTGTGGACTTCCAGGAAGCCATCTCTGCGTCCATGGCTGACTGCCACTGAGAGGAGTAGGGACCCTCGATCGCCTCAGCGTACGATCGAGGAGTCGGGATGTCTGGTGCATCTGGGTCTCCCTCAGGGGCAATCAGCGAGGACACGAGATGGGGCAAAGCAGCAGCAAAACTCTGGAACTCCTCCTACCTGTCCTCAAGGACGTCCGTGCTAAGAGCACACTCACCCCCGACGGACGGAGGACAGACAGACTCAGACTCAGCAACAAGACTAGCAGCGTAGTCTAGACGACATCGAGCAGCAAAATCGACAAGCTCAGCAACAAGGGCCGACGCAGTAGTGGACTCAAAGGAAGGGTCAGTGACAGCAGTAGCCAGGAGACGCGTGACAGAAGGACTGGCAGCACGAAGAGAGTCAGACTACGGGTCAGCAAGAGTAGGAAGAGAGGACTCTGGAGGAGACGGCAACGGGACACGCAGAGGAGCAGTGGAAGGACGCAGTGCCATCCGGTGTGTGCCTGGGACCGCAGGAGGACGCGGACGCGCAGTACGACCACTAGTGCGAGCAGCACGAACAGGCGATGCAGGACGAGACGCAGGCTCACGACGCTCAGCAAGACCTCCAGTAGGACAAGTGTAGGGAGAAGGACCAGGTAGGGGGGAGGTGGGCTGTAACTGTGACTGCGACTGGACAGGCGGTGGACACGCTAAGGGAGGGGCAGGACCAGTGGAAGGCGGAAGACCAAGAACCTGCTCAAGGAGCGGAACGAAGTACGGCCTCGGTCGCGCAGCACCTCCAGAACCAACAGGGATAGCACCAGTACCTCCAGCGGCAGCACCAGCGCGAGCAGCACCTCCAGCTCCAGCAGCGCCAGCTCCAGCACCCTCAGACGCACCAGCGCCAGTAGAAACACCAGAGCCAACACCCCCAGCAGCTCCAGCTCCAGTAGCTCCAGCAGCACCAACTCCAGCAAGACCGGCAGCTCCAGTACCGCCAGCAGCTCCAACAGGACCAACTCCAGCAGCCCCAGCAGCACCCCCAGTCCCAGCAGCTCCAGTACCTCCAGGACGAGCACCTCCGGGACCAGCAGCAACAGTAGTACCTCCAGCTCCAGCCGCACGCCTCCAGCGCCGGGCAAACCACTTGCGCAGCTCCTGTGGAGAGAGTGGCTCCCGCCTCGAAGAAGCACCGTCGGCGGCCACACGAGCAGACCCAGCGCCCCCACGCTCCGCACCCGCAGGCTCACCACCCCCTGACTCAGCACCCCCATTCTCAGCACCTCCAGACTCAGCACCCCCAGGCTCAGCACCCCCAGACACAGCACCCCAGGCTCAGCACCCCCAGACTCAGCACCGCCAAACCCGGCACCTGCAGGCTCAGCAGCTCTAATAGCACCATAGTCAACAGCTACCTTGACAGCCTCGACTTCGTCTACCTGGGACACACCTGATGGGGCAGGACCCTGACGGGGGAGGGGGTCTACCCGGGGAGGACCTTGCACAAGGAAGAGTGGGGGCAGGGGAAGGGGCGCAGTGCGGTAGGGGAAGAGACAGTAGTAAGGTACCGACTTGTCAAAGGTGACGTCCTGGGAGGACAGAACACGGCGCGTGGTAGGGTGGTAAAACTGCCAACCAGGCGCGTCAGGGGGGAAGCCAAGGAAGACGCAGGGAACAGCACGGGGGGGCAGCTTGTCAGCAGACAAGTCGCGGACAAACGCCCGAGATCCCCAGACCCGAAACGCAGACGCATTGCCAACCTTCCCCGTCCACCGCAAGGTGGGGGAGGTCTCTGGCAAGGAGACCCGGGGCTGAAGGTTGAGCTGATGCGCGGCGTACTGAACCGCAAACGGCCACAGAAAATGGGGGGCAGCCGCATGGGGCTGAAGGTTGAGCTGATGCGCGGCGTACTGAACCGCAAACGGCCACAGAAAATGGGGGGCAGCCGCATGCATCATGGACGTACGAGCGACGTCCATGACCATGCCGATGCGGCGCTCAGCAATCCCATTTTGCTGTGGAGAGGCCGGAAGCGTGAAGTTCTGGCGGATGCCCTGTGCACGACAGAAGGCTCCCAGACGGGCAGAGGAAAACTCCCCGCCTCTGTCAGAGTGCAGACGCAGAACAGGAAAGTCCGAGCCGAAACTATCTCTGAGCTGGAGACGAGCCGCGCGGATCCAGTCGATCAACACCTCAGTGACGTCACCCTTGCTGCGCAAGGGGAAGAATGTGGTGTAGCGCGAGTAGTCGTCAACCACCAACAGGAAGTAACGCTCGTGCCCCTGTCCACGGACGCGGGCGGGGCCCCACACGTCCATGTGGAGCATCTGCAGTGGAGCCTCTGTCGGAGGAAACTCGGAGGAGTGAGGGGCGGCGCGCTGTCGCCCCTCGACGGAGGGGATGCAGGTTGGGCCAAGCCCCGGAGGTAAGGGAGGGAGAGACCGGGGGAGACCAGAGACAAGGACACGGGAGGCCATGCCTCGGAGACGAGGCAGGGAGGGGTGACCAAGGCGGTGGTGCCAAGGGAGATTCTGGTGGGACAGGAGACGACACGAGCAGGGAGCTGACTCAGGACCAGACCTAGACGCTGCAGCACACACCTGACTCGACGCAGCTACCTGGCCAGACTTAGTAGCCGGAGGAGACTCAGTAGTAAGGGTGTACAGGCTCGACCCTGGCCGACGGGTGAACGTGGCCAAGTGTCGACCTGTCGTAGCACACGTGCAGTGGGTCACCCGCTGACTCGCAGGAGTGAACTGGTCAACCCCCCTATCCTGTAGGTCCGCTCCACTCAACAGGTTCGTAGAGAACGAGGAGAGGTAGAGACTTGACAGGGTGCCAGAGGGGGCTGCCGGGCACGGTAAGACAGTGGAGAAGCTAGCAAGGACAGGACCCCCAGAGGGGTCCGCCTGGGAGACTGCAAACGGCCGACTAAGCGGCGTAAGCGTGGTGTGGTCTCGAAAGAATAGTAACAGTTACCCTCAACACTAGTAGTCACAGCATACATGGCAGCAAGGATAGCATCATAGTCAATATCAAAGATGACAACCCCCGCCCTAGACAGATCTCCCCAGCGAGGGATCTCTGACGCCTCAGGGAACTGGTGACGCCACGCGTCCGTCAGGCGGCCGAAGCAGCGCTGGGTGGAGTGCGGGCCCCCGCACTGCTCACCAGTGCGTTCGCCGGTACGGAGGACGTAAGTGCAGGGACCAGTACCCCCACCGCGCTGACGCGCAGCGTACCACTCACGAAGCTGCTGAGGGGACAGGGTCTCACGTAGAAACCAACAAGGTCGGCAGCAGCAGCAGAAGCAACAGAGGGCAAGAGGGGGGAGGGGGAACACCCCTCAAAGACGGGGTTGCGAGGGTCACCACGAGAGGCTCCTACAGCTACTATGCTCTTCTCTGCTGCTAGGAGGCGCTGCTTGAGGAGGTCAACGGTGAGAGTGGTGGGGCAAACTGAGAGGAAGTGGTGCCGTGCACAGTCGGATTTCTGCACAGCGGCTTCAAACGTTCATATCGTTCCGGTGACAGCTTCAAATGACTTGATTCAACTTGGATCTGGAGCGTCTTATTGTCACCTACAATAGGCAATTCAGATCGCACGTTTTGACCAAGTATTGACGACACAGCGTTGGTTTGAACGAACGGCACTATGGCAGCCACTATAGTCTTAGAACACAAGATAGGAAGAGTTAGGAAGAGTTACGAGTTGGGAATGACTCCCAGCTCCTACAAACCCCAAGAGCCGAGGTACAGTGATGTGAAACAGTGCCACACTGTCCCCAACCACGAAGGGTCTCGAAACTACCCTTCACTAGGGCCTACACCAAGTGAAATGTTACACTACACAAAGTAATGTAACTATCTTCAATATCTTGAGGTGTACCCTTTTGGCGAGCTTCGAAATCACTTGAGGCTTGACACCAAGGCTCGGGCTCTTCATCACAAACTCATCCTTGAGTTCTTGATGGGTCTGCTGCACACACCTGCGACACACCGAACGTTCGACACAGGACAAAATAGAAACCGCGCACGACAAAAATAGAAACCGCGCACGAGACACAAACGACCGCGTAACACGCGTCTAGCGATAACTCGCTATTGACTCAACACACACACTCGACATCATGACTCAACATTCACACACAATTATAAGCATGAAATATATATTATCCCATGCCCTCATACCATTCCATACACACACACATGCATGCACACGGACAACAAGCCGAGTGCAAACCATAGGGTTGCACCAACAAACTCCCCCTCGGATTGTTGGCCTTAGGATATGTTGCTCTCTCAGTTCAGAGCCATCCCAGCCAGCTTGCAACACTTCCAATGCTACTGCTCCACCAGCCTCTTGGTCATCATGTCAGTCAGCTGCCCCGTGGTCTTCACGTAGCGCAACTCAACTTCACCCGCGGTTACTATGCTCCTCGTCCAATGCCACTTCACCCTCATGTGCTTCGTGAGTCCATGCAACACAGGGTTCTTAGCAAGAGCAATGGCACCCTGGCTGTCACAATACAGTGGGGTAGGTCCTTGCTTCTCCTCCCCCAATTCAGCCAACAAACGCCGCTGCCACATAATCTCCCGTACGGCACGGAAGAGTGCCATGTACTCAGACTCCACCGAGCTCAAAGCTTGGTCCACCTGCTTCTTGCTCTCCCAAGCAGTTGGGCCTCCACCAACACAGCATATGAAGCCTCCCACACTTGTCATGTCCTCTGGTTCTGATGCATATGAAGCATCCGAGTAGGCGGTAAGGAACAAACGCCCGGGCTCAACACCATCCGCGCCCTTTTGGCGCCTTTGTGCCGCCGCCGAGTATTGCAGCCCAATGGTCGGTGTTTGGCCAAGATACTTGGCCACCCTCATTCCAGCTGCTACCTGCTTCTCATTAGGGCATTGCACAACCCTAGCTAGCTGCCCGGTAGCAAACGCGACGTCCGGTCGGGTGTTTACCGCCGCATACATGAGGCTGCCCACCAACGAGTGAAATTGGCGCCTCTCCTCTTCTCCAACGCTCTCCTCCTCTGGCCCCTTCACACACTTGAACCCAGAGGGAAAGGGAGTAGCCACATGACCTTCACTCTGGCCGAAGTTGGCAGCCAACGGCTCCAGGTACTTCCGTTGGTGCACTCGCATGCTCCGCTTTTCCGCGTCTCGTTCGATGTGGAGCCCAAGGTAGAAGTTCACGTCACCAAAGGACTTGCACTTGAACTTATCTTGCAGCTTCAGCATCACCTCCTTCACAAGGTTAGGAGAGGGTGAGAAGATCAGGATGTCGTCCACGTACACCACCATGAAGCTCCTCTGCTCCCCCTCGCCAAGCATGAACAAGGAGTGATCGGCCGTTGAGGGAGTGAAGCCGATCCCCTCCAACACTTCGCGCAGCTTCATATACCATTGCCTAGGGGCCTGCTTCAGCCCATAGAGGGCCTTCTTCAGCTTCTACACTCTGCCACTACCATCATCAAACCCCTCTGGCTGCGCCATAAAAATCTCCTCCTCAAGGATGTCGTTAAGGAATGCCGTCACAGTGTCCATTTGCTTCACCACCCATCCTTTGATGGCGGCTCCCGCGAATAGGGTTCGCAGCGTCGTCGGCTTCACCACAGGGGCAAACAGCTCCTTGAAGTCCACCTTCTCCTTCTGCTGGTACCCCTTGGCTACAAGCCTAGACTTGTAGCGCTCGATCTTGCCGTCGGCATCCGACTTGATTTTGAAGAGCCACTTGGACGTTATCGCCGTACGCCCCTCCGGTAGCTCCACCAATTCAAACGTGTCATTCTCCTCGATGCTCTTCAGCTCACTCTCCATGGATTTCTTCCACTCCTCAGCATCACTACTCTCCAAAGCCTCCTTGAGAGTTGCTAGTTCTCCCGGCATCTCCACCGGAGAGAAGAACGCGAAGGCATACTCCTCATAGTCACTCTCCTCGTCGTCTCCGACCATCATTGCCGCTTCGGCCAGGGCTGTCTTGCCTTGCTTTCCAAGTGCATCATAGGTCAGCCTATTAGGTGGTTGAACTCTCCTCTTCCCCCTTCCTTCCTCCTCAGCTGCAGGGACTTGAGGGCCTTGGCATTGCTGCGGTGTGGCTCGAATCCGTGGAGCACTCGTAGTGCGGGAAGGGAGTGACGGTGCACGCTCGCTCACTTGCTGCACCTCCTCCTCTTCTTCCTCTGCATCATTGGCCTCCTCTCCCCCATTCACAAGGGAAGATTGCCTTGTGGTAGTGCTGCCACTGCTCAGCTCCAAAGGCAGCTCCACATGCTCCAAACCGGAACTCTTCACCTCCCCAAACCGCACGCCTATCTTCGCCTCATTCTCCGCCTTCCAATCCTTGTACATGAAGTTCTCCATGAACTTGAAGTCCCTGCTTACCAAGAACTTCTTGGTGAATGGGTCCCAAAGAAGCCATCCCTTGCTGTTTTGAGCCATGCCCAAGTGCACGGCCCACACCGCCTTGGCACCAAGCTTGTTGTGCCGAAGATGTTTAGGCACGAGCGCCATGCACATGCACCCGAACACCCGAAGCATATCCACCTTTGGCTTCCTTCCTAGCCACTCCACATAGGGCACCCATTTTTCTGCTCCCACATGAGTCAAGGCTCTGTTCTTGGCCACACATGCGCTCCGCACCGCATCAGGCCAGAAATAGTCGGGTAGCCCGGCTTCAATGAGCAACCCGCGTGCCGCCTCCGTGATTGTGCGGTTCGCTCGCTCAGCGATGCCGTTCATTGCAGGGGAGTACGGCATGGTGAGGGAGTGCCGAATACCATTCTTCTTCAGCCACAACCCAAACTCCTTGCTCAGGAACTCTCCCCCTCGATCGGTGCGGATTGACTTGACTAGACGGTCTTGTTGCCGCTCCACCATCGGGAACCAATCCGCCTTCAACGTTTCAGCCACGTCGCTCTTCTTGGCCAGCACGTACACCCAAGTCATACGGGCGTAGACGTCCACAATAGTGAGGAAGT